GACAGAAGGTCTACTAGTGGTTACTGCACCTTTGTAGGAGGGAACCTTGTTACTTGGAGGAGTAAGAAGCAAACCGTGGTAGCTAGATCCAGTGTTGAAGCTGAGTACCGTGCAATGGAACACGGAGTAGCCGAAGGTATGTGGATAAAGAATCTATTGGGAGAGTTGGGTTGGAAAACCCATGACTCTACTTTGTGACAACAAGGCAGCTATCAGTATTGCTACCAACCCGGTACTACATGATAGAACAAAGAACATTGAAGTTGACAAGCATTTCATCAGAGAGAAAATCATCACAGGCTTAGTACCCGTAGGGGTATTTTCGTAATTCTGTAGACATATTGTTATGTACGGCCAGAACAGTATAAATAGAAAGCTTCACTCGACTGAAGCTAAGTTTAGTTGAGGCCTTAACTTAGTTGCCTCTTATTCTTCTTCCTCTTCTCCTTCTTCTTTCTTCTTCTTTTCTCCTTCTTCTTTTCTTCTTCTTCTTGGTCTCCTGCTCAACAAGAACAAACTGAGACCAAATCAATAATCTCAATATTGTAACCCCCAGACTAATCAGCCAAAGCATGTGATTCAGTCCCTAGTGCATGCAAGGCAACTTCAGTATCAAATCTAAACTACCTTCAATACTGTAATCTAAGCAAACTAGAACTTCAATACATTAAAGGATCTCAACCACTGATATCCACATCCTGACTACAATTCTTCTATCAAAGGAAATGAGTATGTCAGTTGGTAAGATACATAATGAAAAACAATACAAGAACTAGCACTTCTTAGATAAGACAAAGAAACTAAATATAAGGACAGTTCAATCACATAAAACTAAGGCATCTGTTTATATGCAACAAAAACAGAATAAAGCAGTCATACATGACAAACCCCTGGACATGGTATGCCCCAAACTAATGAGTCTTTAGATGGAGACAAAGACCATAAGATTTTTTAAGCCGAAGTACACAGAGATCTAGAAGGATAGCATATACATGTAATTCCCTCTCCATGGTGTCAAAGTAAACAATTTTGCCTATAAGGTTAATTAAAAACACTGGAAAATACTCAAGTAAAAACCCAATGGGTACAAAGGTCTGGCAACTCTATGGTTTATGCATTAGTAAAACAAGGGGTGGTTAGAAATCAATTGTTTTGGGCTATAGTGTAAGTCAAATGATTGGAAAGAGGTAGTAGTGAGTGGTGATTACCTTCTTAAAGGATGTATGTAAACTTTGTATAAAAACAATAACAATAACAACAACACTGGAGATACATGACAAGGGAAAAGGATCATAGTATATGTAGAGGACAGGTTTTATAGTGCTAGAGAGGATCAAAGTATCAGTACCTTATTATTTTGGATTTCATTTAATATTAGCTATTGATATGGTAAAACTATAGCAGCATTCAAAGTAAAGAAATGTTTAGATACTCACCCAAAGAGAAGTCAACTAGTTTTGCGGCAACTGCAACAGCAGATCCACTAGAAGCCCCTCCTGGCACTCGTGCAGGAGCTGCAGGGTTGGTGGGTGTATCATAATGCTTGTTTTCTCCATTGATACTGATAATGTATCAAAGACAAATGATGTAAATCAGAACAAACGTAAACTAGGACATGGGGAAAGACAGTTAAAGGGTTAAGATTTTTTTGGGTAAAAACGGTTAAGACCTTTTTAAGCAGTAAAGTTTGTCCCAAGTTTGATGGGAAAAAAAAGGCCCAGCAATCCACTAAACCAAATATATGGATTAGTGGGTGTATCATAATGTTCGTTTGTCTTATAAGTGCTTGCAGGATTGGAATTCAGATTTCAAAAACAAGTGATATAAATCAGAAAGTAAAGGAGGATAGAAATTAGAGATAAAACAGTAAGGAGGTAATATCATTGTAAGCACAGAGTCTTGCCTCAAAGTAAGGTTTGGGGGAGGGGGCAGTGGGAGCAAGGAAGGTGGTGCTTGTAAGGCTACTAGTTACGGATCATCATCCCCTGACTAATGTACATAAGTCCACAACAAATGATATATGGCATTAAAAAAACAAATTAAAATAAATGAATCAAGTCCTGAATCCTGACCTATATGCCATTTCATCAACAACTGCTTTTCCAACACAAGTGGCTCCACCTTCTACAAGAAGAGAAACCACAGGAGATGTTCGAGTTGCAGCCTCATGCGTCTTTGCCCAGTCTGGATTGCCAAACCCAGTCACATATCCATCAATATCAAATCTGATAATCACAAAAGAATCAGAATTTAACATTGATAGAAAATGAAAATAATTTTGGGATCACGAGCATAAAGAAATCCATAAGCATTAATATTGGATATAACAATCAATAAAAAATCAAAGATATTCACAACTTTTACCAGATCATGACCTGCCACAGAGGAAACAAAATTAAGTGCCATTAACTTCAAAATTTCAACTCATGAATAAGCACACTAAAGCATTATTGGGAAAACCTTTTACACCAAAAGAGATGTAGTAGGTTGAGCAAGTCATGCAATGAGCTTGTTTGGATTAAAACAACTTTCTGTCTGCTTGACAACAAGCTGTTGCAAGCTCTTCCCCTTAGAAGCAAAGAGCTCAACTCAACTCAATGAAGCCTTATCTCAAATTTTGGGATAGAGCTTTTACTATTTGGGGTAAAACCTTACCTCAATTATTTGGGGTCCCTACATCTGCTACATGAATACTGTCTTTTTTTTTTGAAGATAAATAAAAAAGAAAAAAGAGCCTTTACCACATGAAGCTTGTCTTGCCATTCCATTTTGTGAAAGATGATCCTCATTCCTCTATTAATTTATGAACTCCAGATCTTTTCTCAGGAATTCAAAACCTGTCTTTAGGATTTACCAACATCCATTAGAACCCTCAAATTTTATTACTTTTTTTACTAGTTGGTAGCATTCTACAAGATACCCAAACCATCTTGGTGTGTAGACAACTTTCCCTCATTCTTTCACCTGTTGGGCAACCTAGGCTCAATGATTTAAAAGGCACACCTAGCCACTCAGGCAAGGCACATTTTAAGGTAAGCACCTCACCTGGGCCCTAGGCACAACACTTTCAAAAGGCATGCACCCAGTGGTCAGTGTGCCTTGCGCTTCAGCCCAGGCATGTACCTTTTTTATTTTCTTTTTCTTTTTGTTCTTTTTGAATCTAGCAGTTGGGCTGGGGGCTCCGCCCCCAGACCAATAACCAAGACCCTCGAGAAAGCCCAAACAAGTCCATGTTAGACGTTCACTCATTCACTGAAGCTCCAAGAACCCCCTATTTGCTAATGTTGTAAATTCATTCATCATAGTAAAACATCTTCCTAAAATGCAATTAAAATTATAAAATCATTTTTTTGTAAAGATTGAGAAATTAAGACCCTAACATGGACTTGTTTGGGCTTGCCTCGAGGGGCTTGGTACAAAGGCGGCTTGTAGAATCAAGAATGCAAGATTCTTACATCACATTAGCTATTTAAAGTAATGCAATTGAGGAAAAAAAGAAATTGTGTTTTACATGCTTGAAAATGTTTAAATGTTTTGCTTCATTTTTTTTTTTTGAAAAAGGTAAGGTAAATTTATTAATAGAAATCAGAACCATACAAAGGGCCTCCCAGAAGGGAGCAAAGACCGAGAACAGCCTCTCAGTTTACATTACAATTCAAATATACTAACAGATCTTAACTGAGACCCCAAGACCCTAGGCTGTATGCCTTTTACACCTGCAGTCCAGGACACTAGCTTTCCCACTGCACCAGACACAAGACAGTCCGCTTCCTTTTTCTTATTCTGAAAGATTCTTTTGTTTCTCTCTGCCCATATGGAACTGATAACAGCTGCAGTGATAGGCCACCACACACGTCTAGCCAGCTTAGAAAGGCCTAACAAATCCCAACTCCTTAGCAGATCTGAAACCTGTTTTGGCATGACCCAGGAAATACCTTCCGAAGAGGGAAAATGGTTCCAAATTCCAGCCACGAAAGGGCAATGGATGAAGAGATGATTGTTGTCCTCCTCTGCTTGCCCACACAGCTCACACAGCATGTTTTGAATCAGAATTCCTCTTTTTGTCAAATTCTGTTTAGTTAGATTTTTATCCAATACCACCACCCACAGCAGTGCATTCACTTTGAGAGGAGGAATCTGAGTCCAAATTCTAGTAGCAGGAAAGTTATCCAGTCCTCCACTAGGTAATCTTTTGGCTAAAGAGCTTACCGTGAATGCACTTTACATGTTATGTTTATGTATTTTAATTTTAGATAATAGGTTTCTAAAATATTTATTTTAAAATTCAAGTTTATATTTTTATTAATATTATATTTAATATTATTTTATTTTTTTGCTTTTTTGAATTTTTTGGTACTTCTAGTATTTCTTGCCTTGCTCCAAAAAGGTGTGTGCCTCACCTTGTGCCTTGCGCCTGAGGCGCAAATTGCCCCTTGTGCTTTTAAAACATTGCCTGGGCTCCCAATGGTGCACTTCTACTATACAGCTGCACTCATTTTTAATGATATCCTTTCTACTTCTAGTCTTATTCTTTTTTTAAATGTTCCTTCCTAGTCTTATTCTTACCACTCATCCATCTCAATGTATCATTACCTACAGTCATATATCCCCATTTAGAGCATAGAGAGTATAGAACTAATACCTAAAGGATGGGCTTAATCTATAATTACTAAGTATTTCCAAACCAAGAAGAAATTCATCAATAACCAATCAATCTCTTTCAATAAGGGCCGTTCTTGATTTCTAAGGTCCCCAAAATAAATGATTTTTATACTTCCATGGGTCTTCTTGTTTTCGCTTAAGCCACCCTGTCACCGCTTCTGAATCTCCTTCAACAATGATTTGCCTTAGGTCCATAGATTTAGCCCTTCTTGCTCCTAGAACTGCCCACAGTTCTGCTGTTGTTGAATCTCCATAGCCAACTGGTCCATAAAAAAGTTCTATAGCATTCCCCTTTTCATCTCTAAAGGCACCCTCGTTTCCGGATTGTCCCGGGTTACCCACATTGCACCCATCAAAGTTCAATTTAATGAAATCTGCCACCAGACTCTCCCACTGCACTGTCACATGTAAATTTCTTGAAGATGAAGATTCAGCAATTGATTTTCAGTTTCTTAATATATCATCAGTTGTGAACAAGTTAAATTCCTCCCTTGTTTTGACCCAATGTGCCACTTCAACTTAAATGTTTCCAAACTTCTTCTGCACTTCTCTCTATATCCTTGAACGGCCTTGCATTTCTCTCCTCCCCAAGGCACCAAAGCACTACCGCTCTTGTGTGTCTCCATAAAAATCTTACCTCTTCTCTTCCTTGGACAGAAAAAAGAGTGCTTGAATAAGCTTCTTTGGTCACATGGAGGAATCCACCTACATCCAAAGAGACCAAAGAAAAACAGCCAAATATTTATCAAAAAAAAAAAGAAAAACAACCAAATAGTAGATACATAAGTGCAGGAGATCAGCAAGTGGAAAGAGTTTTCACCGCGTGATTTGCACAAGGGACAACAGTGAGATGAAATGCACCAAAAGATCTTCTTCGTTGTAAGTTCTCACACATATTTATTTTATCATGATAGACCTCCCAGCAGAAGGCTCTCATTTTTGGTGAAACAGGACCATTCCAGATGGCACTAACCAGGCAGGACAGGCAAAAGATTTAATTTCTGATTAACTCATTGAAGAAGGAAACACATGAAAAGGAACCAGAGGAACTCAGTGTCCAAACCCTGTTACCACTCTTTGATGCATCAAGGAACACCCTTTCTAAAGAATTTAGTAAAGATATCAGATCTAAGGAATCTAAATCCCTTAGACCCCTTCTGAGACCAAGATTCCTGACCAGACAGTTTTGAGAGAAAGAGACACAATAAGATACCAAAAGGTCAGAAATAGAGAAATAAGGGGGAATTTTATCTTATAGGGTCTGATCCCCCCACCAAAGATCCTTCCAAATTTTGGTTTTATCCCTTGAGAGCACACCAATCCTGACAAAAGGCAGGAAAGAAGGAAGAACTGACTGAATGGCTTTTCAAGGAGAGGAAAGAAAAGCTCTGGAGTTTAAGCTGGCATCCCAGCAATTGTCAGCCACCCTGTGAATGCTTTTGCTGGTTTTATGCCACAGTTTGTCTGAATCTCTAGGAAATCTCCACAACCACATTCCAAAATGAGCCTCATTTCTGCTTCTCAACCTGCCCAAACCTAAACCCCCTTCTTACTCAAATACATCAAAACCCAATCCACTTTTAAATGTTTATCCTGCTTTTAAAGTATGCATTTACCATTGCCAATACCATAAGCTATCACAAATTCTAAAATTAGGTCCCATGCTTCATTCCTCTCCCTAAACCTAAAATCCTCCATTAATCCTATTATATCTCACACTACCTTTCTCCACATGACCATTTAGATCTCCTATAAAAATCTTCATTTAGAATTTCTTAAATTAACCATTATATGTTTTTCCAAAATTGCATTTTAATGATGTGTTTCAAAACCTACTTGAGGTGCATAAGCACTAACTATGTTAATGATTTCCTCTCTCAAAACAAGTCTAATTAAAATCATTCTATCCTCAACTCCATTAGCATTTACAATTTCGAATTTTAAATCCTTATATACTATTATCACTACTCAATTTAGCCATCAATTTCTTTAGCTTTTTTTCCATTCCATTTAATTTCTTATAAGCATGCTGTATTAATCCTTCTCTTTTTTTTTAACCCTAAAGTACTCCCGGTGGAAGGGGGCCCACCGTTAGATCTTATTAAATAAAACCAGAAATAAGCCCGGGAGGGGGGGCATAAAAAGACCAGAAATAATCATTCTCCTCTTCATTGTGTCCTTTTTTTATTGATATCTCTTCCTTGTGTTGTGCCTATTAATTCCACAACTTTGCTTGTTAATGTCCCTAGTCCCTACATTCCAAGTAGCTAACCAAATTCTTATTTCTTAGTCTTAGACTAATTTCTTTGCCCCCCTCGGCCCTCCCTCTACAATAATATCAAAAGATGCAAGAACCCCTTCCTATTTATCACCACAACTGGGCATTGGTGTAGCTCGTCACTTTTAGAGAATTCCCTAGCATGAGCACAAAAGGACAATTCAAGATTCATGCTTATAAATGAATAAGAGATATAAATCCCTGCAATCAAGGGAAGAAGACCTTTTCCAGAAGAGGTAACAGAAACTCAAAACGAGAAAAAGAATAAAGTTAGCCAACTAGCTGAAAGAGTATGTCTTCCTTGCTGCTCAAAAAAAAAAAAAAAAAAAAAGAGTACCTTCCTGTAATTTCCTATCAAGGGAATCTGCAATGTCATTGGCGGTTCTCAATACCCACCTAAAAGAACAGTTTAGACGTGAGGCTAGAGATTTAACAGCCCTCAATCCAAGGACTATCACCTATCACTATCCAGCCAACGACCATTCTACAATCTCTCCAACAATCAAATCCCTCCATTACCCAATGTGGTATATGGATTAAACAAGATTTGCTTTTTGGCAAGTTTTACTCTCTTAATACAATTTATAGAGCACAAACACAAAAGCCATGAGCCAGGACCACTACAAACACAAATGTGGCTCCAAACACAACCAAAAGGCATACAAAAAGCACACTAAATAATACTAGTTAATTGTTTTGCTGTTTTTTTTTATAAGCAATTGTTTTGTTGCAAGAATAACTCCTCGATTTTATTAATTCTAGTCATCAAGCCTGTATACAATTGCTTCTATTAGAATTTTTTTTTCTTTATTTTCTTCAGTTAGATTTCAAAGAGTGAAGAACATGTTACCCTTCCAAATATTGTGCTTTTGCAATTTTCCCATACAGAAACTGGAATGAATTATGCAACAGAACAATATTTTTCAAGATCAAAAAATGAGAAACAACGAATTTATTGAAAAGCAACCAAAAAAAAAAAAAAAACAGACAAGAGTGCCGAAGAGCATTCGAGATAGGCGACGCAATTTACTTACACATCCGAGACTGCAAAAGAGAGGCCCGTGAGGGGATGGGGAGCCTTGGGAGGCGCAGGCTGAGGAGGTGGCAGAAGCTGGAGCCTCTCGACAAAAGCACCAAAATCTTCTTTAACAACTTTCTTCAATTTTCTGGTCATGAGAATGATTCCAGCCAATCCCAATCCCAGCAACACCCACAAGTTAGTAGAGTTCGATGCCATGGTTCTGGGTTATTCCTCCGCTTCCGCTTATGTGAAGTGGAGACGGAGCCTCAGGGAGCTCAAAAACCAATCAGAGTTTGCTCGGGCAGTGAGTCTCTGGAGATTGGGGTGTTGTGGGAAAAGAGGATAACACTGGTTTTGGTGAAAGCTAGCGCGAAACCTAGGCAGAGAGGCAGAGAAAGAGAGAGGAGAGGGAAAACCCAAGCCCAAGCCGGGAAGGTGAGAGCTGAGTGTGCTGGATTTGGAAATGCAAATGAAGGCAAACGAAATTATGTGGGGATAATGATGTACTGGATTTTGCATTGCTCTTTTACGTTACGACAAAGGTTTGCTCGTCGTCTGATTAGAGGGCTTCGTTAGGGACCGTAAGCATTCGGGCTTGGGCCTGGGTTTGTGTTTAGTCCTGTCCCAGGCCCACATCAGACCTGTAAATTTGTGAAGCGGGACCCAGGCCCAATATTTCAGGCCTAAGGATGGGCAAAATAGAGAGATGCATCCATAGCCTTTGTGATGGGCGAATACCCACTCAGGTTAGAAAGAAAACTCTATAGCAAAGTGCCAACTGGTTGGTTGTTAAAGTATCCAGACTTGGGATTGAATCCCGCCTACACTAGGCTAGGGAACTCGGATTCAGTCCGCTCAGTCACTTGCAGCTGTACATTGAGAATATCTTCCTATGAACAAAAACATATAAATACGGAGATATTTCTAATACACAGTTGCAATTGGCAATGAGCACAGTGAGCACCATCTTGTGAGGAGTGAATCTCCAGGTTAGGTGGGTTTAGGAGATGATCTACCCCCAAGTTGAGTAGTCCCATGGAGTTAAAAGGAAAAAACTTTTTAAAAAAATATAGTTCTATAAAACAAAATCAGCAATGCTGGAGGGAACAACAATGTCCAAAAAATGTGTAGGGGAACAATATTCAACTCACTAATTAAGAAGCTTAACCCAACATAAATTAAAGAGTGTATAGAAACTGTATAGAAAAAGCTGGAATTGGTCATCAATTTATGTCATGGACTCATGGTTATCTTTTATGAATGAGAGCCATGTATACAAGTATTAAAAAAAAAAAAAAAAAAAAAGATAATATAGGCAATGATTAGAGATTGAAATCATTAACTAGGATTTGATGGATTATTAGGGTTCTTTTGCGGTAAATAGTTGAATTGAGAATGGCTTTATACAGGGTTCCAACATGGCAAATAAGTTTTGATCCAAAAGAAGCCTCCATGGCTAATAAGTTTGGATCCAAAAGAAGCCTCAAGTCTCTCTCTCTCTCTCTCATGGAAAAAATACAAGATGGGCCAATGTACATTTCAAGGTATACAAAATACATACAAGGTGGAAACTCCACGCATATTACTTGATCCAAATAATAAACCTTCTTCCATATGTTTGGGTAAAAAAACAGTTTACACATTAACCACCCAAATAAGAGTTATAACTAACCAGCTAAATTTCATATAAAATGTTTAGGTATAATGTTATATAACTACATGGTATATAACTGTTGCTTTGATTTTATTTTTTGGTAGAAAAGCATGAATTCATCAATGAGGCAGAGAAAGAAATAGATACATTTTCTTGCATAAAAAAGGAAAGCAACCATGAAGGGAATCCAAGTCCAAAGACCACTGTATGCATTGCATATTCAAAGTGATCTCATGCATCATTGTCTTCGGAAAAACTAGAATTAGTGAAGAGGGAAGATGCCTCAACCTGTTTGACAAAAGAAAAGAAAAAAAAAAAGCTTTATTTTATTTTTAATTAATGTAAGTCAATGGCATTTCTTCAGAGGCCATAGACATGAGCACTACTGCATACAGCCATACACAAATGCGCTACTAATTTTGCCGATGGGCAATATAATCAGCTAGATGATACAAGGGTGCAGCCTTAGAGCCATCAAAGTAAAGGAGCTCCTCCTTGGCTTGAGCCAATAGTTTCTCTGCAAACTCCTTAGCTTTGTCAAGCCCCATTAGCTTTGGATAAGTGGCCTTGTCGCTCACTAAGTCCTTGCCGGCCGTCTTCCCCAACTCCTCCGAAGTCTTTGTAATGTCCAGAATATCATCCACCACCTGAAACAGCAAACCAGTGCACCTGGCATACCTTCTCACCCTCTCCACCTCGGCCATGCTTCCTCCGCCCATGATCATTCCACAGACGGCCGAAGCTTCAAGCAGCTTTGCAGTCTTGTGGACATGAATGTACTCCAATTCCTTTAGATCCACTATTTGCTGTCCCTCACAGGCAATGTCAACAATTTGGCCTGCCACAAGTCCGTCGGACCCAACTGCTGCACCCAGCTCGGCCACTACCCGGACGACAAGCTCCGGCGGCAGATCGATGGTCCTAGCCGCCGCGACATGCTCAAAGGCAAGGGAAAGCAGCGCATCCCCGGCCAGAACAGCTATGGCTTCCCCAAAAGCCTTATGGTTGGTGGGCTTGCCTCGTCTCAGATCATCATTGTCCATGCAAGGGAGGTCATCGTGTATGAGTGACATGGTATGAATCATCTCGACTGCACACGCTACGGGAAGAGCCAGCGACTCATCCCCTCCCACTAACTCACAGGATGCGATGCACAGAATGGGGCGGATGCGCTTCCCGCCGGCCAGCAGTGAATACCTCATGGCCTCATGTACCTTGAGTGGATGTCTCAGAGGAACAGCCTCGTCCAGAGCCTTGTTCACCCTTTCAGCCTTTGTGGCCATGTATTCCTCAAAATGGAACACAGAGCCTGAGTGATTCAATGGCATGGTTGTGGGCTCATTCATCTGCACTGATTGCACAGAAACAGAACGCGCCTTATGAGTTGCAATATGAGCACATTTGAAGGAATCAAGTTCATCAAGATGGTTAATGGGATTATTCTTCTTCTGGGAGCTTCTGCGACCAATTGTTTCATGAGGGAATAAGGTTGCAGAAGAGGCCATTGGTTGTGACAAGTGAAAGAAAATCTCTTTGGGTTGGAAGTTGGGAGTCTTGAGGAGAGACTGATGGGGGCGGAGTGGCTGAGTGAGATGGAGTTAATGAGGGATTCTTGGGTGGTTCCTCGGAGGTCGTGCTCAACTTCTACGCATCAATGTCTGTCAAAGCCTAAACCCTGAAGGTAGTACTTTCTGCCTTTCTGGTGAGTTACGTCTATAGTGTACGTTTATCCTTTCAATGCTGTTTGGATTTTAGCTTGAACTGGGTGTTGATTCATCGGGTCGGTGATGACTTGAATTTAAGTCACAATAAATGCACAATTACAATGGTTACTGACCCATCATCTAATGGCTGTACCTTCGCAACAGATGTAAGCAGCAGCTTTCAAGTTAAGCCCTCCCATTTCTCAACCATGTTTTGGGGCCCGTTTGGTAGGGCTTTGATACAGCTGCTTAGACTTTAAAAGAAGCCACCAAAAGAAACCTCGGTGAAAACCACCCAACATTCATTATCTTGTCTGGATGTCCTCCGGACAGGACCCATCGGTCCATCTTGTAAGGTCAATAGAAAATAGGGACTTTTGCTCCTGAGCGTTCCACGGGATCACACAGCACGTGGGTCCATTTTGTAAAGTCAATAGAAAATAGGGATTTGGGATTTGCTCCTGAGCGTTCCACGGGATCACACAGCACGTGGGTCCATCTTATAAAGTCAATAGAAAATAGGGATTTGCTCCTGAGCGTTCCACGGGATCACACAACACGTTCTCCCGTGCGTTGGAAATATTTCTCATGAATAATAACATACAAGCATCTGTGCTGTGCGATTGGTGTGAGGAGCAAATCTCTAAACGGATGATTATATGAGTTCAAATCTGTTCTCACAAAGCGCTATTCACAACTGACCTTGTAACATTTCCCAGCGCACAACAGGAAATCCCAATTCTGTAAAGTCATTATATAGAATTAGGATTTGCTCTTCACAAGAGCGCACCTCATACCACATCTCACTGTGTATGGGAAACATATCCCATGAATAAAAAAACGGGATTGCAGTCCAAAAATCCCATAAAAATACACCAGTATGACAGATGTTTCGAGTGAGACTCATTGTGAGATTGGTGTGAGGAATAGATCCGGACCCTACTTCATCAGATATTACTTTTAGCCATTCACATCTTGCCCTTCTGTGAGACGGTATCTGTTCTTTACAAATGGGCGCTTCACATGCACATCCAACATGCATTGAGAACATCTTCCTTGAATAACAATTAATAGGTGTAAGAGATATTCACAATGCATAGTAGGATGTGCGTGTGAGGCGACAGGTTTGAGGAACAGAGATCCGGTCTCTCCTTCTCTCTTTTTTGGTGATTCAAACGCCAATGCACGTAATAAATGCAAGTGGGTGTAGAAGCCATGAATACAAATTTGATTTATTCATGCACCGGTGTTTTTATTGCATTTACATCTTGTTTGGCAATGTTTCTACTTATTTCAAACTATCAAGTACCAAGTCTTTACTACATGGTTTTGGGTCTGTCTCCTTTTTACTATTTATGTAAGTAGATGGTTTAATGTTCCAGCTCATAGGTTGGTCAAATATGTTAGAATATTGAAATTAGGGGGGCGAGCATTCGGTTTTAAAAATTGAATATGTAAAATATAAAATCGAACCAAAACTGAATTATTGAAAAAGCGAAACCCAAATTTTTGGTTTGGTTTTTTATTACTTCAATTAAAATAATATTTCAACAATATTATACTAATATGCATTATATATATGTACATTTAAATATATACTAATATTATATATATAGTAGTGAAATAATATATTATATTATATGATACATATTATAATATATAATAAATTTTGATTAATTTGAATTTTTCGGTCAACCGAATTTCTAATTTTAAAAATCGAAAATGAAACCAAAATATTCTAAAATTAAAATAACTGAACCAAATTAACTGAAAAACGAAATAAATAAATCGAAAAAAAAAAACCAAAACCAAAATTTTTAGTTCGATTTTTTAGTTTTTACCGAATAATGCTCACCATTATTGAACATACTGAAGGATTGTTTGGCCCGTCACCAGATTGACTTCATGTCTTCCTCCTGTATCTGACTAGTGACTATCTAACTATTTATCCTTTTTAGTATAATATACTTTTTCAGAAAAAGAAAGTAAATCTTACTTCCTGGCCAACAGTTCATGTCCATACATGATAAAAGTGTATCATTGAGAATGGGACATCGAGAAATGTTAAAGAATTAGTTTCTTTTGTTTTTAACTGGATGTGTGCATCGTATGCTATACATCTATCACATTGTTTGTCTCAATTCAACCTAAACCAAGATTTAAGTATCGATAAGATATTTTTGGTCACGGATGCGATATCCATATATAATATTTCTGGTCACCAATGCAATAAATTAGCATTTAATATTTAATACCATATCATATTTAATGATGAAATATCAAAATGAATGGAGATGAAAGTAACTTTTGTGTATCGACCTCTTTAGCCTAGTATGTCATTCCAATTTCCACATGCATGGTCCCATACACGTGGCAATGATTATAGTTAACACTTGATATTTATTCAGCTGATGCACATGTGCCAAGCAATGGATACGGCTAGCACTTGATATGTGTTCAGCTGGTGCATTGCTCTTTTGGAATTTTTTAATCCTGAGGACCATGAGCACATACTTAGGCACCATATAGCAGTATAGTCATATTGCTGGTCTGGACAACTGGAGGTAGCCAGAATCTCCAGCATTTTTTAGTGTCCATTTGGAAGGGTTGAATTGCACTGGCTTCTGGCTTTCTAAGGTGGACCCTATATACACATGAGACAACCTATAAGTTATGTTCCAGAGAGCCAAATCGGCTGTCAGTAGGTCATTTGATTGATAGCCCACTTAAGCCTCTTTGAATAACTTATCCCAATCCCTTTAAGGCAGCTGAATCAATTTAGCTCAATCTTCAACTCAGCCCTTCCAAACGGGCCTTCAATGTTAGGGACATTTGTAATAACTTCAACTCGTTTCTTTGCCTTCCGGTAAGTCATTGAAGGAGGTTACAAGTTTCATAATTGGCTTAAAGTGAAAGTGAAGGAGGGTTGATTGTAATGCCTTTGAACATTTTATTTCATTAAAAAACTAAGCAATAAATCATTGTTCAAAGAGCTAGGAAAACTTTGTGCACATGAAATCTCACCTTACCATAAGAATTTCTCCTATACATATCATGTGGGTTAGCTTGGCTCAGCCCGTGGGAGCAATTTACAACCTTGTTCCTCACCCGCTTCATCAGCAGTAGACGATGTCAGAAGAGCGTAGTCTCTCTAATGTCACTCAAACAGGCATCGGGTGAAAGCTTGCGGTCTTATATTGACTGCTTTAAGAAGGAAGAGCTCGAAGTTCGAGACCTCGACCCTATGGTCTCCATGCATGCAATCATTAACGGACTCCGCTCTGGCTCGACCCTCAAGTGCTCGGTCGCTAAGACCCCGCCAAATATTAAACTCAAATTCCTCAAGAAGGCCCAAAAATACATCGCAGCCGAAGAGGCTTCGGCCGGGGACAACCAAGAAAGGGTAGCCAAGCGCCATGACGGGCCCCCCAAAGAAGAAGAGGAAAGGCAGGGACAGTGCCACCCCGACAACCATAGTGGCAAAGACAACAAGTAGCCATCGGCTCCGGCCTTGGCTTACAAGGACTACACGCCACTCAACTCCACTCGCACTCAAATACTAATGCAGATCGGGGAAGAGAGGTTTGTGAAGTGGCCAACAAAGCTGAAGCGGAACCCCAAGAGGGGGAACCCTACGAAGTATTGCAAGTATCACCGCAACACCGGACATAACACCGAGGACTGCTACGATACAAAAGAACAAAATAGAGTCCCTTAGCCACCACAGGCACCTCAAGCAATTCGTCAGAGGAGAAGTTGGCGCCTCGTCCTCCCAGTAGCATCAGCAGTAGCAGCAACATCAACAAGTGGCAGGCGTCATCGCCGTCATCATCGGGGGCAAGGCCTCGGCTAGAGCCTCGGCCTCGGCTCGAAAAGCCTACACTAGGCAGCTTAACATCTGGGAGCCTGCCCCGAAGAAGCAGAAGTACCCGGACGCTTCGCAGAGGCCGAGTTGTCCACATGCCCTCACCTTCACCAACAAGGACTTAGAGGGGATCACAGTCCCCCACAACGATGCCCTCATGGTCACAGGCATCATCTCCAATTTTATGGTAAAGAAGATCTTGGTGGATAGTGGCTCGTTAGCCGATATCCTTTTTTACGACACCTATGAGAGAATGAAGCTCATGACAGAGCGACTCCAACCTGTCAACGTTCCCCCCGTCGGCTTCTCCGGCAGCATTGTCAGGCCGAAAGAAAAAATTACCCTACCCATCACGGTAGGGACAGCACCACACCAAGTGACCTGGATGCATGGGTTCCTGGTGGTAAAGGTTGTCCCTCCCTACAACGTAATAATGGGGAGACCAACCCTTCATGCACTAGGGGCAACCATGTCTTCCTATCACCTGACCCTCAAGTTTCTCACCGAGCACGACATAGGAGTTGTTCATGGGAACCAGCAGATCGCCCGCCAATGCTACATGGCGGCGCTAAAAGGAAAGAATAAGGAGGCCCTACCACTGGAAGGCCTCGACCTCCGGGAAGAGCTAGCAAGCCGAGGCTAGCCATCCGAGGACCCCGTCTCGGTTCTCCTGAATGAGTCAGCCCCAGAAAAGACAATCCACGTCGGGTTCAACCTTCCCCCTGAACGCCTATCTGAACTAGTAAGCTTCCTTAGAACTAACGCCGATGTCTTTACTTGGTCCACCACTGACATGCCCGGAATTGACCCTCCGGTCATTACTCACAGGCTGAATGTCGACCCGAGCTCTAGGTCAGTCCGGCAAAAGAAGAGGAAATTTGCACAAGAACGATGAAAGGCCATAGGAGAGGAGGTTGATAAGATACTCGACGCCAGATTCATCCGTAAGGTACATTACCCTAACTGGTTGTCTAACGTGGTTTTGGTAAGGAAAACTAATGGGAAATGGTAGATCTGTATTGACTTCATAGACCTTAACCGAGCCTACTCGAAGGACAATTTTCCCTTACCGAGGATAGACCACCTCGTCGACGCCACTACAGGGTATGAACTACTCA